GAGCTGCTCTATGTGCAAAAATGTTAATGAGAGAATGAAGAACAGGTTAGTGTGTGAGTGGAGGCTCAGGTCAGGTGATTCTAGAGGCAGGCGGGTGGGAGTGGCAGCATCTGAAGTGATAGCAGAGTGCACGATGGGAACATAAAAAGCAGACTGACTGACTGAATACAGAAAGGCAGAAAACCAAAAGCACCACTGGTCTGTTTGCTTTGACATTACAACATCTAAACACAGAAGTGTTTCACTCGCTGTGTTTCTGCTGAAATCACACATTGTCTCTCTCTGTAGCTGTGTGATCATTTGGTAAGAAAACATTTTTTATATCTTACTAAATTTTTATATCACACACTTTTAATCTGATTTCAAATACATGTAAATTTTGTATTGCTCTATAAAACAATGCAAGTTCCTGATTTGATCAAACCTTTAAGTGATGTTATATATTTTTTCCAGGTGATGAGTTTTGTGACAGTCCAGTCTGTGAACATCATGACAGACATCATGTTACTGAGTCTCCTTCTTATTCCAAGTGAGCCGTCTCATTTCAGGCATTTACAGTCTGACAGATCAGTGCAGACAGAGAAACTTTACAAAGTCACACAGTTTATACTAAAGCAGTTGAGAAAAAAGAAACACATCTGCTAAACTTAGTTTATCATAATTATGTTTTTGCTCATGTGTATTTGTGTATTTATCTTTTTTTTCCAGGTACTTTGGCTTCTTGTCCTTCAAACACACACCTGTTCATCACCGCACCAACAGAGATGGAAGCTCTGAGTGGATCTTGTTTACAAATCCCATGTAACTTTAGTGAAACTGGAACAGAAAAGTTTGACAGCACAAGACCTGTCTCTGGAGTGTGGATTAAAAATCACACCAATGTTAAAACATATCCAGAAAACGAGATCTTCAACAGCAGTAGGACAGTTAACATCTATCCAATGAAGATTACAGGAAACCTGAAGGAGAAAAACTGCACCACTCTGTTTTCCAACTTAACCACAACTTATACAAACACATACTACTTCAGAATTATGAACTGGCCCTACAGAGCAACAGCTGTTTGTGATCCTCTTAAAATAACAATTAAAGGTGAGAAAGTTTTCTTTTCATTGTCCAGGTTTTCTGAAAACTAAAATTAGTAATCAGATGCAGCTTTGGGTTAATCGACAGAAAGAACTAAAAGTTCAATTATTACAGAATTCAGTCTGATTATTCTGTATTTATTATTATCCCAGATTGTCTGTACTACCCTAATGATACCACAGAGAGAATAAAATACTACATCTTGTTTGATGTTTGACCATTTAAAAAACAGCAAACAACATTAATGATCCATTTTTTCTTTTCTAACAGAGTAAAAAATTTTATGATTTTTTTTTTCTACTGTATTTCCTGTATTAATAGTGTGCAAACTGTGTCTGTGATGTTAAACCACAGATTCTCCTTGGAGGCCCGATATTACAATCCCAGGTGATCTGAAGGAGAAGGAGTCTGTCACTATAACCTGCTCAGCTCTCACTCCCTGTCCACACTCCCCTCCTCAACTCACCTGGAATCTCCAACAAGACTCTCACAACAAAATAGAGAAAAACACAGATGGAAGCTTTACAACTAAAATCCAGCAGAACATCACTCTGTCAGACACACATGATGGAAAGAAGATCAGCTGCTCTGCCAGATATCCTGTGAACCAAGGAAAAGACACCAAGACAGCAGAGACAGAAGAGACTCTCAGTGTTTCATGTAAGACAATCAGAGTTTGTTGTTGCTGAACTGAATCCCATCGGACAACATGATTTATGTTTTTCTCTCCAGATGCTCCTAAAGACACCTCAGCATCCATCAGTCCATCAGGTTTGGTGTCAGCAGGCAGCTGGGTGAACCTGACCTGCTCCAGCAGAGCCAAACCTCCAGTCAGCAGCTTCACCTGGTTCAAGAAGAGCAGAGATGGAGCTGTGAAAGTATCTGAAGGAGAGATTTACAGCTTCAATGTAACAGATGGAGGAGTTTATTACTGTGTGGCCACTAATGATCTGGGTAATCAGACATCAGCAGAGCTTCATGCTGGTAAAGACAAACCACATCACCAACATTTTACACACACAACACACATTAAATCATATCTTTGATTACTGTTTAATTTCATTCTTTTTTCTATCAGGACAACAGAATAATGGTTCTTTACCACTGGGTCCACTTCTTGGAGGCATCCTTGGGTTCATCTTACTGATCTGTTTGGTTATCTTGGCTTGGTAAATATCACACATCAAAGCAAGAAACATGATCTGCTTTCCCATCAAGCTCAACTTTACTCACATAGATAGATAGATATAGATAGATATAGATATAGATATAGATAGATATATATATAGATATATAGATATATATATCTATATATATATTTAACTGAAAGTTATCTAATATTTAACTGTCACTCATGTCTTCCAGGTGCTTAAAGTCAAAACATCAAACTCAACAACAGACTCAGGTAAGAAAATAAAAATTAGAAAAAAATAATTGTAGATTACCTGACTTTTCAGGTGATTATTTACAGTAGTACCTGCATCCGTGCAGTCTGCTTACCATTTTATATGTCACAGAACTTTTTATTTGATTCGTTTTACAGACTGAAGAGCTGGTTGTCGAAGAGTCCACAGGTAAAACAGAAGAAAAGGAAGAAAGCCTCCATTATGGAGAGATCAACTTCTCCACTCTGGGATATGAAGTGCCCTCTGGCTCAATGCAGGACAGAGGACAGCAGCAGGATACAGTGTACGCACAGGTGAAAGTCAACAAGCCAGAAAACAGCTTAACACAGAGAGCTCATGGCCAAGAGGAACTTTATGCTAAAGTGAAGAAAAAATGAGAAGTATCAGTTAACAACCTCTGAACAGAGAAAGAAACGTGGAGCCACGAGTTCACTGAAATAGAACCAATTACTTTGTGCAGTCTGTCCATGCTTCTGTACCATCTTCAGGCAGCCGTTTGCAGAGGATTTCCTGTGTTCACATTAAATCCATGAGCAGAAGCTGCACCAGTCAAGGAACTAGTTGACTGGGCCACACGAGTATTTCTGAAAAGGAGAAACTCAAAACCTCCTCATATTGTATGTGTTTGTTGTAGGACTTCATAATACAGCCCGTACCTTATTACCTAACCTGTTTTGTTGCCTCCCGACATTTACTGAATTTCACGTGTAATTTTTTACCAACTAAAAGTACTTCCCGGTAGATACAGTAGAGCAAGGGAAGTAACAAGAGGTTATAAAGGAAGAAAAATATTATTTAGTAATAAGAACCTTTAGGGTATCTTACTGGAATGGACAAGGTTCCTCTTATTACATTGTAATGACACAGTATTATCAGAGGTGTAGTCTGCATCAGATGTGTTTACAGATGAAGACTGCTTCTAAAGCGAGGAGCTTTGAAGTGCTAAAAGCACGTACCTCAGACCTGACAAGGCTGGAGCCTAAAGGGCCTGACTCTAAATAAAATATATGAAAAACAGCAAATATAAAGACTTGTTACCAGTAACATGGTGTTTTCATAGCTGAATCCTAGTTCTGATACTACTTTCTACGTTTGTTACTCTGAATATTTTGCCTGTTATTTTTAGCTCTTCAGAGTGTAACTGAACTGTCAGTTGTAAAGAGCTCTTTGCTATTTAGCATTCAGTTCAGTCCTGTTGAAAAGACGATGTTATCTTTTGTGGTACATACTTTTATCACGTCTGAAGTGTATGCATCCAGCGTTATTCATGCTGTTCACAGTTCAGTGACCAAACTTTCTACTTCTCATGTGGTTTTGTCACCTACGTTATCACACTAATGTATCTGTGTTGACATTGTGAGTGTGAAATACTCTGCATGTAATATTTGTCAACAATTTAAGTGTTAGACTTATGTACTGTGGGGAAA